ATATAGACGAACAACAATAATAACAACAACAAGATAAATTTAAATATATATATATATATATATATATATATATATATATATATATATATATATTTCATTCCTCTTCCACCATACAAAGCATAAGTGTAAGAACCACACCAGTAAGAAAAGGAACAATAGCCCGAGCTCCTCGCAGTTCCTCCTGTAATAACATCATTAAACCCGCAAATAGAAAGAATCCACTTCCCATCGCTTGTGTTCCAGCCATCCATGCAGAACCACTATGCATATTATTATTATTATTATTATTATTATTATTATTATTATTATTATTATTATTATTATTATTATTATTATTATTACTATAATTATAAGAAGGATTCTTAGGAGAACTCATATTATTATTATTATTATCATAACTATTATTATTCATATTATTCATATTATTATTATTATATGGATAAGAAGAATACCATACCAAGAATGCGGATATCATAGTAGCTAATGGATCTAAAGATAACCATAATAAAAGTGTCCCTCGACGAAGTAATCTTAATAAGAATAAACACCACTCTCCTGCATCTGTACGATTATTTCCTATCATTCCCTCTCCACTAATCATATTCATATTATTATTATTATTATTATTATTATTATTATTATTATTATTATTACTATTATCACTAGTAAGAGGTAATATTTCACTTTCTGTATCTAATTCCACACACATTTCCTTTGCCATCGCCACTCCCACTACTACGCCATCAAAAAGACGATGAATTATTAAAGGAATAGCCGCACGTAAAAGAGTTGTATGGGAACTTTCCACACCCAACATAACTCCCTCCGCCATCGCATGTACACACATTAATAAAACGACTAGAGAAGAAGATCGTTTTTGTTTTTCACTTCCTGCACAGAGTCCATGTGTATGAATATGTGGATTACTATTATTACTATTATGATGATGATAACTTCCTCTTTCCATCACGGCGGGTAATAAAATTCCAAGAAGAACAGCCGCACTAATCGCCACTGGAGAAAGTGCCCCTCCTCCACTATTACTATTCATATTATTATTATTATTATTATTATTATTATTATTATTATTATTATTATTATTATTATTATTCATATTCATATTATTATTATTATTATTATTATTATTATATGGATAAGGAAAAGGTGTATGGTTCATACATTGAAGAATAGCCGAAGGAAGAAAATGTGTAAGGGCGATGGTAATTAACATCCCGGCAGAGAAACAATTGGCCATGGAGAGATGCCGCATATTATTATGATGTAAATAAATACGTGAACGACGAACTCCACTCACATCTTCACGTGATCGCCGTACACAACAGAGAGGTGCTAATACACCAATAATACTGGAGAGCGTAAGGATAATAGAGGCAAACAGCTTTAATATGATTTCATTCATTATTATTATTATTTTTTGTTTGGATTAAATACTTTAACCCTTTCACAATAATAAGAAATAATAATAATAATAATAATAATAAGAATCGCTAAAGAAGAAGAACAAGAAATATATATATATATATATATATATACAGAGAGACTCTCAAAGATAAAGAAACCTATTCCTATTTCTTTTGTCCCTAAAAAAAAAAAAAAAAAAAAAAAAAAA